AATCAGGACATTGTACAGTATGATATGAACTCTCAATTGATCTAAATTTGATTTCTTAATTACAGGATTAAATTAGGCAAAATTTAACTACATCATCAAGTACCATCGTAATCATACAATATGATTAATTTTATTTTTGAATTTCAAAATATTGTCTAATTTAGGAGTGGCGGCAGAGTTATTCATTTCTAATGATCGTCCTATATGATTTGGATCGTACAGTATGATTAGTTCAAGTTTAAATTTTCTTAATTAAATGTTCGAATTAATCTTTGCTTTATCCAGATTATACAGTATGAACTTCAAAGAAATTAAAAAATTTAGTTTTGTTCCCCAATGTGTGTTCATTGTCGCTAAGTTGGCATACACCTTTTATAGGTAATTTGACTCAAGAAACATAAAAATAAATAAATGAAATTACAAACTCTTCTAAAAATATCAAACATATTCAACCTAATATTGAGTCAATCCTTTGTTGCATGGTGCACAATGTATCTAAAATATTTATTGCTCACTTAAAAGACATGCAATAATAGTATTAGAAGAAATAAAATAGAAATTCAATAATATTTGTTATCATTAAAATCCTAAGCTCAGTTTCCTAAATTGCAACAATCAAGCTAATAAACAATAATCAAATCATAACACTTAATCAGTTCTAACGAACTTCTCTGTCTCAAATTCAATTCCAAGTGAAGATGTACTTCAAACTCTGATGATTAATATATATTTCATATCTCACTCCATATAGATAATTCCTTCATATCTTTAAACTATGATCACCGTCAATTCTAAATCATGAGTAGTATAATTCTTCTTGTGCGATTTCAACTGCTTGAAAGCATATACGCAATCACCCTACCATTATGTTGCAAAGCACATCCTAAGCTTCTGAAAAGTATTACTGAATACTTGAAACCCATCAATACCAATCAAAATCGTCAGCACAGGAGCTGACACCAAATAATCATTCAACCTTTGTAAATGGGCCTCACATTTTGATGTCCAATCTAAAGCTACATCCTTCTGAGTTAATCTCGTCAAAAGGATCGCAATCTACAAAAAACCCCTGTCAAACTTCCTAAAATATTCAATCATACTAAGAAAACTACAGGCCTCTAACACTGAAGTTATTCTTGGCCAATTCATCACAATCCTACACCTCTGGGGATCTACAAACATCGCATCCTTACAAACATAACCCCGAAAAGTAACAGACCTCAATCAAAACTTGTACTTTGACAACTTAGCATACAATTAATATAGTCTCAACATTTTCAATGTTAATTTCATGGACCTCACATAGTCATCCTCAATCCTCGAATACATCAGAATATCATTAATGAACACAATAATAAATTGATCAAAATATTACTTGAATATTCTGTTCATTATATTAATAAAAATAACAGGCATATCCGTTATGCCAAAAGGCATAACTAGAAACTTATAATGCCCATACCGAATACTAAAAGTTATTTTGTCATATCCTCGATGTCACCATCAACTGATGATAATAAGACCTCAATTTGATCTTTGAAAATATAGAAACACCCTCTAACTGGTCTAAGAAATTATCAATCCTTGGCAATAGAAACTTATTCTTAATTGTCATCTTGTTTAATTCACGATAATTAATACACGTCCTTATTGAACCATCCTTTTTCTTTACAAAAAAAATATGAGCAGCCCACAAAGCTACGCTAGATCTAAGAAACTATCTATCCAACAACTTCTGCAATGAACTTTAAATTCCTGCAATTCTTTGGGTATCATTCTACAAGAAGTCATAGAAATCGAGGATGTCAGACATTATTTCTACACAAAACTCCACCTCTCTCTTAGGAGGTATACTCAACAACGCTCAAGAAATACATCAAAAAACTCACATACTACATAACATCCTCAATTCTTCCAACAAAATTTACTTTCATCACATATATATGCTAGAAATATAGAATGCCCTTTCTTCTACATCTTACCAACTTCCAAAACTGATATCAAGCAAAACAATGTACCACTACACCCTGAAAATGAAATACTTCTCCCTTACCACACTATACCACTTTTTTTTGCTACATTCGATTTGAGCCCCATATCGACTCAATCAATCCATACCAACTATAACATCAAACTCTTTCAATAGTAAGACAATCAATTCAGATACCAATTTCCTAATTGAGATTTCAATCTCACATATATAGACCTCACTAGCAACTAGAAAATCTCAAGTTGGTAACAAAATAGATAAAAAAAAAATACAATGATGGGAACTTAACTCAAACACTCTAAAAATTTCGTAGACAAAAAAGAATTATTCACTAAAATCAAATAAAATTTAACAGGATAATGCAAAAATGAAAGCTGCACCTATTACCACATTTGGCACATCCCTAGCCTCTCACTAAGTTAACTATATACATGGGGCTGAGCAGAAGCAACACTATTAATGGCACTGGACTCTCGTTGAACACCTCCGACAAAACTTGCCACAACCCCTTCTCAATGAACCTTCACTGATGGCTCTAGACAGAACTGCTACTTGCATTCTCTGGTCTCCTCTACTCTTAGACCTACTCTCTCGTGCCCCCTAAAGACACTGAGCCAACTTGTGACCTGACTGGTTACACTTGAAGAACTTCTCAATAAATAGTTAACAATGACCTAAATGTCTCTTTTTGTAGAAACAACATATTGAAACACTACTCACATACACAAATCCTCTAACACTCCCAGAAGTTGTATGATCATCCCTCCTAGTGTCAGCTGCACTAAACCTACTTTTCTTCCCACTAACACCATTCTTCGAGAGTTCTCCAAACCTCTTCCTAATCACATCCCACCGCTGTTGGGTTGACACCAAATCATTCTCGATCAACCTTGCTCTCTCCACGAGCTTAGAGTCTTCCCCAATACGAAACGACACTGAAGGGTGTCTTAGATTATCTCTCAAGCCTCTCAAAAAATGATAACATTTCTCCTTAGAAATACTAGCATACCTCGCAAGAACAATGAACTCTGTCGTTGTCATGCTCAACTGAATTAACCTCAAAAATGCTTCCCATATCTACTGCCTCATAGACAGTGGCACAAACCATACTATAAGCATCTCTGATAACTCTTCCCAAGAGATCTCTACATCCATCCTATTCTAAATATTTTTCTCTCTGATGTACTCAACTTCCCCATCAAATAGGAACACTTTTAACAGGACCTTATGTGCCTCAAGATTTGCATACTATCAAAGAATTTTCCAATCTGATTAGCCAATCATCCACTACCTGAGGTTCAACTGCTCCCTAAAAGTAAGGAGGTTTTAGCCTTAAGAACACTTGTAGGATCCTATCCACCTCGTCACCCTTTATGGCAGATATTCAACATTGTGCTTCTCTCATCAATTGTGATATTAGACCCACAAACTATATCATAGAATTAGAGGTCATTGCACCTATTGTACTATGTACAGTCACAGCTTGACTAGAACTCTGTCCATCAACTATCTCCTGCTCTTGAGATTTTATGACATTTCAACACTTCTACCTATTATAAAGACATAGGGTTCAACTAACCCTGCATAAAACATAAATAGACAAAAAATAACTTTATAATACCCCGATTCACAGTTGCTCATCTATAAATTATTTTCTATGACTACGATTATAATTCAGTTCTTCAAACTACTGCTCTAATATCATTTCTTTGATACCCAAGAACATAATGGAAGGAATTGAACATATTCCTATATCATTTTATCAATCAAACAGAACCAAAGCCCAAAGAAATATTTGATATGAATAGTAAACATGAATATTTCTATTTCCCAAAATAATTATATACACAAAATTCAATACAAGTTCCAACTACATATAAATTTTAACCGGATTATTAAAAAGTACCTCAAGAAATACCAAACGTTCTACTAATTGGACCTTATTAACACTACCATATTATGTCAGGGCCTTACCCTTCCCTAAAATAATGTATAAAATAATACAAAGTGAGAATACACGTGCTTAGAAGACTATACAACCTATTGAAGAATATAATATTCCATATTTGATTAAATTATACAGGACTAATTAAACAATGAAAAGTACACGTAGAGAGAAGAATAGTAAACATTTATATGTGATTACAATAATAGAGGAACCACAGTAGTTGCACCAGAATAGAACTTACATCAAAATAGAATTTCACTAAGACCAGAATAGAACAAAACATCACTAATAATAGACATAACAAAACATGAATAAATGCAACATATATTACATGAGTCATATGAGATATATGCAACAGAGCATGTCCTAAAGACTTCTTATAGCCCCACTTTCTCTTATACCTCCTTTGATCATCTCATATATGTTCTAAATAGATAGAGGAATACATATGCACTAGAACAAAATGTAATCCTAACAGATAATGCTTCAAATTAAAACAACACTACAGATTTAGATATCATTTTTTATTCATATACAAATGTGTACAGGTTCTTATAACTCCACTTGCAATGCACATAACACAAAACAACCTCCATAAACAACACTTCATTTCTCCCCACATTCCACAATATGAAAAAAGGAATGTCACATTGTCAACATGCATGCATAATATGCAAGATGATATGAAAATATATAAAATTTATACATGTATGATAATTTCAATAGTACACAGGGTATTATTTGCATACATACGCAATAGTAACAATTCAAAAAATCATTCATGGGAAACACTGATAACATTTTAATGCATATGCTCTATTATTGAAAGTTGAAACTAACAGAAAGGTTAATACCCAAAAAAAAAAAATTAGGAAAACATAAAAATTAAACCAACTAGTAAAATTTTACATTCCTAGTATCCACGTTTAGAATATTTTATTCTACACATCTCAAAAGTTACTTAGTAAAAAGTTTTCCTAACTTTTGGAAATCACATAAAACTTTAAATCTACCCATACAAACATCGAAGTTAAAATCTAAAGCAAGTGAAATGTAGCTTACCTCAAGCTGAAAATTTCTTAAAAAGACTCGATGGACGAAAATCGCTCGAAGGCTCCCAAATCCTCTCTTCTTTCTTTTTCCCCTCTCTGTTTCTCTGTTCTCTTCTCCACCAGCTGAGGAAATGGGGAATGAGAGTTTTGAGTTAGTGATTTTAGATATTTATATAAAAACTAAAATTTTGAACCATCACCGCAACACTGACATCCTTACACTATAGTGCTCCCAAATAGAGACCATAATATCGCAGCGCCGCTATGTTACCTCAAACTTGTCCCCCAAATAAAGAGCTTAGCGCCGCCATCATAGCACCGCAACGCTCCCAAGCCAAATCCTAAAATATGATTTTTCCTATTGTTTAGTTCAGTCCGCAGATGCATATAGTCTAAAAGGAAATAGAAAATAGTTTCATATACATGGAAATTAATAGAAATAGGAATAAACGTAGAAATCTTATCAAATTCAACTTAGGTCAACATCGATAGGCATGCTCCTACAATAGCATTCATTACACCCCATGTTGATGAAAGCCCAAAAAATGCCTTTTAAAATGACAGCAATAGACAAAGATGTGGTTGAGGTACATAAATAGTGTCAAAAAAATTTCAATAAAAAATATTTTAAAAAATGATGATATATGTAAAAGTACACACAAACTACCCTAGGTATCCTACTTATCATAATGATCAACTCATCAAGACTAACGTTCATCATCAACAACATGATTGATGATCATTGCTTGTTTTATTAGTTGATGTATCTAGCAAACATTTGATTTATTATATTTTTTTTAGGGTTTATTTTTGTAATGATGTTTATGTAATTGCATCTAAGGACCTTTTCTTTAAGAGTCATCCATAGGCTAAATAATAAATAAATGATGATTGGCTATTTATTTATATCATTATATGTTTACCCTCATCCTCTCTTTAATTCTCTTTCAGTCTCCTCAAGTATCTCTCACTATACTAATTATTCTTAAAAAGACTCTCTCTCTCTGTATCCACTCTCCCTAATCCATTCGCTATTTCCCTTATTCATATGCTTTCTTACTTCCAACTATTTTCCTCCATCCTCTTCCAAATCAATTATAGCTTAATCGAATTATCTAGGTTCAAATATATGATTTCTCAATTTTCATTTGTCCATCTTAGTGCACTCTGAGATATTAAACATATTCTTTGCAAATCCATTTAAGTAAACTCCCTCCATAATACCTTAATTCTACTCATTTTTCTTCATGATCATCTAACACTAGTTTTACCTTTTCATCAAATGAATGCATTTTCTAGACTTTGTTGTACAAGTCAAAAGTCAAAACCACCTAAGTTCATTTAATTACCCTATTTTTAATAGATTTCACTAAAATTGATCATTTAATATGATCATTACTTAATTTATTCTTCCTATTTTTGCCACTCTTTGATTCAGAACACTAACCTAGCCTGATAGCCATCTCCTTCACTCTAGTTATTAACCAAATCTCTCTCCTCATAAAGAATACCAGAGAAAAACCACTTTCTCGCCAACCAATTAAACAACCTCAGCCAACCAATGAATTTCCTATGAAAATCACCCCTTAAGTTTGAATACGCATATGGACATCAACTTAAATATCAATGACTTTTTTACTATGAAGCACTTGAATTTATACAATAATGTCAGCATAACTTTGGTTTTATAAAGCTTGACTTTGAGGCCTTATGATATCTTTTGATTTCATTATCCTCATAAGGCATTTTTTCCCTCATTACCATCAGCCTTAATTCTAAACCTTATATTCTCATATATATCATGTTCATCTATATAACATATCACACATAATAAAATTGTCTATCATATACTCAACCTTCGTTAATAATTCCAAGTCCTCTATCTTCTAAGCATATGCCTAATTGGTTTAACGTTTCGCTTATATTAGTGGATGTCTAACTTATTTTATATATATATACATGCCTATGCAGTTCTCTTTGAAACAGTAACGAAGCATTAAGAGGCAAAATGGACTATCATTTGAAAAGTGCACTGATGAACATTTTCACTTACAATCATACAATAATTCGATTTGTTTTAAGAGAAAACTATCTGTTTAATGCCGTTGAAATGTCAAGGATTACAGCATGGTTTAAAATTGCGCAATATAAGGCTCGCCTTGAGGCCCGCCTTTGCGCAATTCTAGTAAAAATTGCCTCGATGCTTACGCCTCGAGTTTTTTTTAAGAGGCTTGCGCCTCAACTTGGTTGAGGCCCGCCTTGAGGTCCGCCTCGCCTCACTGGCATGAGGCTTACGCCTTACGCTATATATATTAAAACTTAAATAAATTTTGAAGTAAATACCCGACATTGAAGTCTATAGGAGAGGAGGAAGAGGAGAGAGCAGTTCATCATAATAATGATTCAAATGAAGAACCACTTAGTGATGACAGTACTAATGACTTATGAGTTCTTATGTGATATGTCATTGCTATTTATTTTTGGAAATTGGAATTATATGTTAATGAAAAGAATATTGGGATTTGGAAAAGATAGAATTTTGAGTTGAACTATATTTCATGTAGTCTTATTATTGGGATATTTTGATTTCACTTCATATCTTATGATTTTTTACGTTTTATATTATTCACTCATTAGTATATAAAAAATTTATCATTTTATTTTTACGCAATCTTTTGATTTTGAGGCTTACGCCTCAAAACGCCTTGAGGCTTACGCCTCGCCTCACGAATGAAAAACGACTCAATACCCGAATACACAATTTTAAACATTGGATTACAGTCGCTAGCTATTCAGTTCATGCTTTTGAGGCATGCAGCTGCGACAGCAAGAGCCGTGAATTTGCTGAAATTCAGACATAATAAGAAATATTAGAAATCCCTGACAATCCAAAGTTATAGTTTAATCACAAAGAAATAGCATACTGATGAACAAGTCTGAATGCTCACTTTCTCGCTTGTCTGTCAGGTTTATGGTCCAGAAAAAATCTATAACAGAAAATATATCCGCTTCAACAAAACCCTAAGAATTTATATTCACTCTAATTAACCAAAGGTGATTGTTCACCCAATTTAGCATACACGGAGCCAAAATGCCACCATCATAACTTTCATTTCCTGCTTCGTAGACACAAAATATAAAAGAACAAAAAAGACAACTTCAAAAACAAGAAGTAAACTAACCCAGGAAATTTAGCAACAGTCGGTTCCAAAGTGTGGCGAGTAGGAGAGCATATCCATGGAAGCGAAGATCAGGGTTTTGATAGTGAATGGAGAATCAGAAGACAGCGACCTTCTCCGCGGGGAAAGAAAGCTCGAATGAACCCATAGAACCAAAATCCACAAAAGCAGAAATAAATCTGAAGACGATTGCCCAGTTAATGTAGCATTTACACAGCCATGAATCCTCCAGCAAGTTTCACATCAACACTAAGGCAACCAAATTGAACTTCAAGCTATGAACATGGAATTGAAAGCTATGTAAATGAGCAGAAGCTTGAAATTCATTTTTTCTGAATTTCAAGCTTCTGATCACCTTCATAGCTTCCAAGTCCATGTCAATGCCACAAAATATGCAATAGTCTCGTCAAATCGAAAACTAAGAAACAATCAAATCTCAGGAAATATATAATAGGAGAGCTTAGCCCAGGAAATCAAGATCAAGGTTTGGTTAGTCAAGAGAGCGTCCAAAAGAACCCTAATCCGCGAAAAAAAGAAACCTAATCAATAAAATGACAACACAATCAGGAAATGATGCAAATAGAAAAATATTTGTGCGACTAAAAACAATAAATTAATTTATTTATTTTGGGATTAATATAATAAATAAATAATTAATAAAAGTATAAGTCATATTAATTTTTAAAATAAACTTTACAAACACTAGTGTTCTTACTCAAATCCAAGACTTCTAAAGCTTCCTTTGGTTATCCGGTACTTTTTGAAAATATAGTTTTAGGAACATTGGTTAAGGGCATGAAATTTTCTAACGGAGAAGAAAATATCAAAAAATCTTCTCAAAACAGTAGAAAAATAAAATTTCCTTAAAAACATTTCTATAAAAGTGTGACATTCAAATAACGATCAAAAAATAATTTCACTGTTTCTAAACATAAAAAGAGAAAAAAACATCCTCTCAAATGAGGCCTAAGATGGGACCTAAGCCCATAAGAACTCATATTCCTATATGATTGTACATTTAAATTGAGAAGGTGGAACTATAACATTATTCTAAAGTCGATTGGGTGATAGTTGTTTGAACAGTAAATTCTTATATTTATATATTAATACATGTAATACTTTTGATGAATTTTAAAATTTAATATTAATTAAACATTAATTTTATACTTTCTCTTAAAAAATAAGTATAATGCTAACATGAGATTAAAATGAAATATTCTAAGTATATAATAAACAACATTGTTGGTATGTATTTAAATTAATCAAATAATATCACATAAAATGGAAAATTAATAAAACTACTTCAATTTTCCAAAGTTTGGCCCAAGCATATTCTAATTGCCTTGCTCAACACAACTTGAAATTGGACTAGAGCTCTAAAGCTTGAAATATAACAAAGAATTTTTTTCTCTTATGGAAAAGACCATTTGCCCAATAAGCATAAGCAAGTCTAGCTGCAAGCATAATAAGCTTAAAGTGAAAGATTTATGTATAGTTTTTGGTTTTTATGTTGGATGTGAGATTAGAGTAAATTTTTAGTAGCTTACAAATGTCAAAAAATTATTATACATGTAAAATAAAGGCATCATAATAAAGAGAAATTCTTTTATGTTATTTTTGCACCTTATTGACCAGAAAACCCTTTCTTCACGAAGATCCATCAACAAGAGCCATCACAATCTAATGCATCTCCCTACATAATTTTCCCTACAAGGTACGAGATTCTTCATCGAACATTGCATTGAGAGCAAATCTTTCACCTCTTGATTGAAATTTTCCTCTCTCCAATGTTTCATCATTTTCTAGCTGACTTGATGATTTCTTGCAAAAAATGGAGTTCAAATTATCGAAAAGATATGTGTTAATGTTTAATGAACATCAATCGTTATCAGGCGCTATGTAATGGTCAATGGGAATATCAGACATCATGCAATAATGGGCAGTCAGCTTAATCATTCTCTTCATAAGAGGTTAGACCAACCAACCAAAAATACTTCTCTTTGACAAGGTTTGGGTAATGGTTTATGAAAAACAAAATTAGGTGAAGGTGGGCAACCAATTTGGTTATTTCTTGATATGATTAAAAAATAGGTTATTGGAAATGTAGGCATCACACATTAATGGTTAATGGATGCTAATTGCTTCTCATTGATAGGTTTTAAGAAATGATTGATAAGATGAACAAACAATGGATGATATTATGTGGTTATCTTAATCATTCTTTTGATAAAATTAGAATGAAGATAATTGTCAACTATTGGTGGTTAATAACATATATAATAATTAGTAGACATTAGGTTACAGTAGATGGCCGACTTGATTTCTCTTCTATTGTAGAAGTAGATAAAGCAGCAAATAAGATATACATCGAATGTTGGTGTATAGTGGACAAAGTTATTGACAAACATTGAGTGATAATCAATGTAAAACATAAGAAATTAGGCAATAATGAGTGGTTATGTTAGTCATTTTGTTAATAATTATGGATATTGGGACATCAGGAAGACATGTGTCAAACATCAGTGGCTAATGGGTAATGAAAATCAATCATTTGTGAATGTCGAGAGACAATTCATGAGAAATATTTAAAATGAGTTGATGGTGGACATTTAGCAAGGTCATTTTGTTAATGAGATGTACACTAGATGATCAATAATATATATATATATATTAGAATTTATGGATGATGGACATGAAATATTGATTATTATTTAGTTTCAGGCGGTTGTCAATACGGAACATCAGAAGTCAAGTAATGATGGCCATTGGAATTTGTCTTTCATTATAGAAGGGGAGGCTGGACAATCAATAAGATAGAAGTTAGTAGTTGATTGATGCTAGATATTTGTCACTTACATGCACTAGACAATGTTCAATATAGAATATTAAAAGTCAGGCAATGGAGAGCAATTAACTTAATCATTCTTTTAATGCAAGGGGATACCCAGAAACAATGAAGATTGGTATTGGGTGTTAGTTAAAATGAACATTAGACATTGTAGTCAGTAACTATTGAATGATGGGTGATAGGGAACATCAAAATTTTGGTGATAATGAGTGATCAAATTGGTAATTTTTCTAAAATAATTAGACATTAGGTGACAAAAATGATGGGCATTAGATTTTAGTGGTTAATAGATGTTGAATATCGATCAGTAATAAGCATTTGTAATGATCAATAAGAATATCAAATGTGGGTGATAATGTGTAATTGGCTTGACCATTCTTCTAATAGGAGATGAGACTAAATGACTAAGAATATAAGCTTAGAAGGTTTATATAGAATTTTATTGATGTGATAGTCATTGATTTACTTTTATTTATTGATATTCTAAAGATTCTTGAACCATTGTTTGAGTACTTATCATATTTTTTCGTGTTATTCATTGATTGATATAGATTCATATACAAGTTGGATTGATTGAGATAAATCATGCTTACTAATTTTGAATGCCTTGTGTTGAATGTAATGGTAGGTTTTGATAATCTTCTGGAATTTTGTACCTCATTATGTGGTATATTGATTTTAGCTCAGGGAAAGGGCCAGGACCCATTGAAATGAGGCAGATTAAGATATTAAAATTTAGCTTTATTTTTTTTTTTTTTTGTGTTTTTTAAGGAGTGTTAAATAATATATTGATGATACATATTAAATTTCTAGTTGTTAACATAAACTTTAGAAAATGGATATAGAATTATAACTTGATGTGTGTGTATATATATTATTTATTTTTATTGAATTTATTTATGTTAATTATTTGTTAGAGGCTCTAGTAGATTAAATAGTAAATACAAAGATGTAATTATTTCAAATTAGATATTCGAGAATCACAAAATGGTACGTATCAGAGCAATTGTTATTGGAAGAATTGAATTGTAGTCGAAGACATGATTAATTTTGAGTGTGGTAGAAGTTGGGTAGTATATATTTTAATATTTGAATATTAGATTGATTAATTGCATATGTATGTATATTGAGGTTGCATGCTTAATTCATTAGGAAAGATAATTATATAAATAGACAAATGGATCATACTGACCAAGATGTATAGAATGAGAAAAGTGCAATAGTTGCTTTAGAGACTTCTGATAGTATATAATATTTTGCTAGTAATGTCGCTCAAATCGTAAGTAACACTCAGAGCAGTCAATCATGGATTAAAGTTGGTGATGAAGATAAGTACTTACATATATTCCATAATATGAAGCCACAATATTTAAGGGGGTTGTAGAGCCCAAATAGTTGAAGATTGGTTGTTGAGATTAAAAAAAATATTTGATATTATGCAGTGTCTTGAGAGCAGGAAAGTATCAAAAGCAACATTTTTATTTAAAGTTTAAGCAGAGAGATGGTGGATCAGACAACAGTAGGAGAAATTTTGAGAAAATCTAAATAAAAAGATTTCTTAGGCAGAGTTTGTTGTTTCTTTAGAAACTGATTTGTACCACCAACAACTCAATAACAAATGAAAAAGGCTTTAATGAGACAAGAGCAGTGATAAAAGATAGTTATGTAGTATAAAGTAGAATTTATTGCATTAGCTAAGTATGCCATGTAGTTGATTAACACAATAGAAAAAGTGCTATAGATTTATAAGAGGAGTGAAGGATGAATTGAGATACCCACTAGTACCATTAAGGCTCAAGAATTTTTAGAAATTGTTGAGAGAGCATGTTTAGTAGAGAATAATTTAACTATACAACTATTTAGAAGAGATATTAGTAGAAAGAGGATATCAAAAGAATTTAGTACAAGCATATCATAGAATTCTAAGAAAAAAATGAAAGTGATGTATCATAGGATACCCGAGTGTTCTAGTTGCGGAATTAGACATGTTGTATAGTTTTTTCTAATCACTAGGTAGTGCTTTAGATATGAAAAGTGAGGACCTCAGATGGTTGATTTCCCACAAAAGAGATAGGAAGAAGGATCATTATCGAGAGTAAAGAAATGTAGACATGCTTATAGACAAAGGGTAGTTTTCTCTAGAATGTATATTGAAGGATTGGTAAATAGAACTGAAGCATCTAAAAATAGGACATATAGAAGAAGTGTGGGTGAAAGTTAGAGAGAGTCTACTCATTCTGCCATGAAAACACCAATACAACTAGGACTTTATAGTTTGGTAGAACAAGCAAATAAGGATTTTTTTCTGAAAAATCCACTATGTGAAATCCTCTATCAAAGAAAATAATTTTAGAGAATTTATTTAATTTTGATTGATAATATTGCATAACTGATTGATAAGCATTATATAGCATACTGCATAACAAGCTTATATGTATGGATGAATTGATTGATTGAGTTCATGACTAATTAAATGATAAGATTGATGAATTGGTGATTAGTAATTTATTCAAATTATTTATGATTTGTATTTATTTGGTTTTAGCTCAAACTGGTTTAATATTATTGAAATGATTTTTGTTTTATTTTATTTTAGTTTTTTGAAGCGATATTGGAAATGTCAAGAATGATATTTTTTAAGGTTAGAATACAATAACCCAAAATTTGTAAAATGAATTAATTTAAAAATATAAAATATTTGAATTGTAGCACT